TAAAAAAGGCTGTTTCTGTTCTGGGGATGACTGTGGAACCGCTGGAGGAGATAATGCAAAGAAGGATTCTCCAGAGAATCAAGAAAAGGATGGACAACCCTGAGCATTCTCTTCACAAGACTGTACGACAACGGAAGAGTGTCTTCAGCCAGAGGCTTCTTCAGTTTCGCTGCAACACTGACCGCTACTGGAGATCCTTCCTGCCAACAGCCATTGTAATATACAACAACTCTTTGACTTGATTATTATTATTATTATTATGAGCTACTACAGCAATCAATTTCCCTCTGGGATTAATAAAGTATTTTTGAATTGAATTGAGTGGTTAGTAGGGCTGTCGCGGTTGAGGAATTCCCCCTGCGGTGATTCAGGGTGGCTTAATATTGCGGTGTGCGATATTATTGCAGCACTTTTTTTTTATTGCAGTACTATCTAAACATAATGTTTACACATTTAAAAAAGGTTAAAAATTGCCGTGCCTTCTTTTATAACACTTTACTGAATGCAGATCAAAGGGCAGTAACAACACAGATCGCAGTAACGTTTGTTTCTCCGACAGTCGGAGTCCGAGTGAACTTAAAAACAACAAAATTCAGGAGAAGGTTAAACTTTTAAATGCAAATGTGGCTGCAGCATCTAACAAATAAGAAACAAGTCCCCATTTTGTTTAGTTGTTTAAAATCAAGCATAAAAAATTACATGTACCGGGCGGGCGCACTATCATTTCACTTTCACTTTCATACACACGAATGACGGTGATTTATAGCTCGGTCACGTCCTTGTTACCCACAAGGAAAACCAGCATGTTAACCATATACTGTTTGAGAGAGGATCTGAGAGGGGTGGCAACATTTCCAGCAACACTGAAAACCCTCTCGGATGGTGCGCTCGTTGCACTAACGCACACGTACTTGCGTGCGACTGGCGAGCAAAGGGAATCTCTCCCGCTTGTTGTTCCACCATGTCAGGGGGGTTTCTTTAGGGTGGATGCATTCCTCCTGCAGGTAGCGAGTGAGCTCCAGCTCAAACTCTCTTCGGGATGGTTGCAGAAGCAGTGCTTGTCCGGGACTTCAGCAGGTCTCCGAGTGTTTGTTTTTTTTGCCGCTGGTGGCAGCTCTGTCTCGGCCAAGGACTCTGGCTGCGCAGCAGCTGACGTACTGAAAACCAAAGTGCTCCCAAAGGAGCAAAGTAATGTTTCGTTTTGATACCAGTGCAGCCATCCTTCTCAACATGCATCATTGAGTTGAATCACGTTCAGTAATCTCGGTGGCCCATGATGCAGCGCGGTGGGTTTCTTCATATTGCGATATTTCATTTTTTGCGGTTACCGTGACAGCCCTAGTGGTTAGCATAATGCTAATATAGATTGAAAACCCCACAGCGTAATGCTAATATGGCTGATTACATTCTTACAAATTAGGAATGTGCCAGATTATTACATTTAGAGTCTAATAAAAAGTAAAAACTGACATTTATCAAATAAGTACAGACAGATATTTTAGTAAAGCTAGAAAACTGTAAGAGACTTAAGCTTAAGTTTTGGCTAGCATCTATGGATTTAACTGAACTACAGAAGCTCTGCATGGGCAAGACAAAAGATAGGGCTGGGGGTAAACGATTATTTTTAAAATGATTATTCTGACGATTATTTTATCGAATAGTCGACTATTCTAATGACTATTTAGATGATTAATCTAGCAATTATTTTTTATTGCACAACGAATAAATACCAAAAAATCTCTAATAAATTCCTCAATAAAATTGATAAATTGTTACTGTAAGAGAATAAACACTACAGGTCTTCCATTTTGTAAAACACTGCTTTTATTGTATTGGTTATGTTCCGGTGATGTGTAGAACTTGGGAGTGCAGGCTGCTGCCTGAGAGGTGGTAGAAGATGGAGTGTCTCCATGCTGCTTTGTTTTGGTCACTTATGTGCGTGAGACGAGTGGTGTTACAACCCTTCCTGGGGAGTTTGGCTCATGTGCAAAAGGGAAGGGACAATAACGGGATTTAAAAGTTAAAATGATGATCAGGTTTATTTACAACTACAAAAAAACATAAATCTTTGCATCCACAGGTTGGGAATAGTAAAACTAATTCTGCCTGTGGGGAATTAAAACAAAAGTACAAATAAGTAGGGATGTCCCACTGGGCAAAGATTACAGGGTTCTGGACCAAAATAAGAATCTCCAAAGGTCCAAACTCTAAACTGGCTGGTTAAACCAAACTCAAGGTGATATTTTACACTAAACCGAAAACCCACAACACTCTAAATGTAATTAAAGGGAGATCTACACCACAAAAAAGATTAACTCTAAACCAAAACGTAACAGCTTATCCAAACGCAAGAAGCTGTTAGCGAAAACGCTAACAGTAGCTTTACCAACGTCAAGTTCAAGTTACCAAGTTTAAATAAACCAAAATACCAGCAAACAGACCAGCACGGAGGAGAGACTGCTACCACAAAAACAGCTCTCCTAATGTCTGAAAGAAGCTCCCTTATGCAGGGAGAAACTCTCCCGGTGATTTTCTACATCTGCGATAGAGACGAAGCAGCGCATCTGACCCCGGAAGTTGTTGTCCGTTGCCGGGAGACGAAGACGAGCAAAACAGGAAAGGAATCTAGTAGCGGACGGACGTTGTTCCGGGTCTTCGGTATTTGGCGGAGATGTTAGTGAAGGCGGAGAAGAGGGCGAACTAGAGGAAAAACAGGCAGATTCCTCATCTATTTACAAACTCCTGGGCATGCAACAAATGGGCGTGGTGCGTCGACTACCGGATCTGACGTCGACGAATTTTTAGAATCGAGCCGTCGACGTCATTGACGCTTTGCTACAGCCCTAACAAAAGACTTCAAAAAATGGGACACACTTCATTCCTACAAATCAATTTTCACAATTGATGCTAATACCTATGCTCCTTCAAGTGATGTGCCCCTGGCTGCAAAGCATTGCACCATCAAATACAAAATTTAATCTTTATGCGAGTGTTTATGTATGTGTAGACAAATAAACGTGTTGATATGATATGTAGATAAACATGTGGATACATAAACGTGTTAATATTCAATACAAGTTACATAGATTTGTTTTTGCTTTCGTTAGTTGAAATATGAGAAAAGCCCCTTGAGAAAACAATCGTGAATTAAGTCACAATTGCAATATTGAAGAAAAAAATCACAATTAGATTATTTTTCAAAATTGTTCAGCCCTAGTTCACACTCGCCATCACTTCAACAGGGTCATTCCTGAACTTTGATAAAAGACAGAAATGTCCGACATGTCGTGGAGTTGCGATTACTGATGGAGGATAAACTTACTGTTTTTTAACTGCTTGCATGGTTTGAAATACATTTAGTCTCTGGAGTATCTCAACCAAAACAGAAACTGCTAGGTAATGTTTTAAACATCTAATTGCATCTGCTGTGGTGGAGATGTAGAGAGGATCTGACTTTCAAACTGCTTTTGTTTCTTCTCAAGGGCAGCAAACATTTGACACATCCATGAATCAGAGCTAATGACAGTGTCCTAGCATGCACATCTGCCTGAATGCTGCTGGGAGCCACACACTTGTCAGCACATGCAAACATCAGAAGCATTCATCTTCTCTCACCCTACAGGTGTGCATTTCCCCCATTAGGGTGCATAGCTCACAAATCTCTACAGTGGACCCCTTTTGTAAATTCGTCTACATGAACTCATACATACACACATCTATCCCAGGTGCATGCCATTACCATTCACCTTAACACATTGAAAAGGACATGCATCACAAAGATGCAAAACAATACATCCCTCAGTTACTAAAAACACCCTGCTTAGTTAACAGCTGGTTCCTGTGTGTGACTAGTCACACTGACTGGCCAAAGAGCTGCCAGACCACAAACAACTCAGACAGATGTGATAAAATCCCAATCGGACACAAAGGTTTGTGATGTCAAATGAATTATTTTCATTTCTACATTAGTGACCAGCAGCAAGTTTTACACCATCTTGCAGGTCATTTCGGATCACACATCATCAAATCTACAGAACATCTGAGAAGAGAAAGTGTTAAATAAGTCATGCTTAACGTTAATAATACTTTATGACCGCGATGGCGGTCATAAAGCAAAAACTAACGAATTTAAGGTTGTCAAGTAAAACTAAACGGTTCAGACTTGATGTGACTAGGCTGTTTTTGGAGAAATGTGAACAGTCCGTCTGCCTGAAGGGTGTCACTGGGTGTGAACCCTGCTTACATAACCACATTCATTGCAAGTCAGGAAATCCTCAAAAAGAGCTACGCTTAAAAATATAAAACCACGTTTAAAATTGAGACTTCTAAATGGAGAAGCAGAAATAGTAACGCAGTCCTAACAGAATTAGTTACAGGTAACTGTCATGTCTCCGGAGCTCGTAGTTTCCTCATCTTTAGGGCTAACTCGGGGAGTTACCGGTCCTGTTTGAAGAACACAAAAGGCGGCTGCCCAAACGATTCAGCCAGTTAGATCCACATAAAATAGCGTTACATTAGATCACTTTCAACGTAATCACGTATAACACAAAAGACAGAAAAGGAATGGTGGTGTGAAACAGCGAAGGGCGTGTTGGGAAGTCTGGCTAACTGTTAGCAGGTAGCGGCTATGCTAACTAACTAACCTAGCTAGCGAAAACTTCCGTAACACCAACAAGCAGAGAGACCGGAGCGAAACCACAAACCCACCGAGCGAAAATGAGTAGGGGGCAAGCCTAGGTCAATCTGTAATAGGTTCGCGGGTCCTATTTTGAGTCAGGACCGTACAAGGAGCCACCGTTTTGAGATTCTCAAATGAGCGGAAGTTGAGCTAAAAATAATAAAGCAGAAGCAGCAGCGCTGTGCTGCGGCCCGAGTTTTGGCCAAATTCCCTCACACCAACCGACCCCGCTGTGTGCCAAAAGGCCACACCGTGTGCACCCCAAACGTGGAGGTCAAGCAGTCATCCGCGGGGTTTTAACAGCAATTATTGAGTAAATTACCTTTTCCTCGTCGGATAGCTGCTCCTCATGATCCGCCATCTTTTCTTCCGGTGTCGGCACCACCAGCTTGTCAGAGACCCGTGACGTCACATAATGGGTGGATTCCCAGCTGCGGCTGATGGTTTTTGCCCAGTCTGCATCAAAAACACGATCAGTATTCAGTAGACTGCAAAAAGAACTACATTCAATTATAACTTTAATAAACCTGTTTAATAACATACAGCCTTCAATTCGCATTCATAATTAATGTTAACAGACTAATATGGGCAGTTGGTATAATAAACACAGTCAAGAAAATGATTGTAAACATATTTATCATCATTTCTGACTTTCTCTCTCAGACTTACCTCTAACGTTTTATTTTATTTCCATTTAACATAACTGTGTGTTCTGTTTTACTATTGACAGCTTTTTGAAACATGCTCCCCCTAGAGATCATCTGCATACATAAAATCTGTGTCATATCATCCTAATTACAGGGTCACTACTACATCAGAATTACACACAATCCATCAGGTATAACCAGGACTGAAGTTGGTCAAACATTCATAGCAGTGAATAAGTAGTTTAATATTTGGGGGTTACATTTTTGCATGCAACTAAACTCACCAAAGGAACACTGGATTTAGTCGCATTCAGTTGCAGTCACCGGCCACTTTTTCAAACTTTTCTCCACTAACCTCCTCTTTTCCACCTTGCTCCTGTCTGCGATCCTCTTCAGTAGTGTCCCTGCTACCATCTCCTATGATCGCCAGACTCTGTTGTCCTTCCGTTCGTTCACGATCGCCCAAGATGCACCGAAGACGTACCATCCTGTTTGTTTATCTGAGTGGCGCACCGGCCAAACGACGATCACAACAAGCGCCTCCAGCAATGTTCATCCGGTCCCGGGAAAACGTTGGAGGAAAAGAGGTAAACGAGCAGGAATCCAGGTGAGAATAAGACTTCTCTTAAAGCGTGGTTTATCTAGTAAACATCAGGGCGATCTTCTAGCTTCTTGTCCTTTGTTTGGTGACCTGAGCGCCACTTCCGCATTCCCGCCAGGCCGCGTTGGGACGCGGTTCATCCGTCCAAGTTTTTTAAGGTCAGTTTATCCTCATTCCTCAGTGGCTTCTCCTCCAGTTCCCTCCATAAGTGGTTTTTATAAACACTGTGGATCTAACCCTGCTAATTTACGTCCACTAACTCCAGCTGTTTCTGTAGTTTCTGATTCCTCCTCACTCAGCATGGCTCTATTAAATACCCACTCTGTTAACAATAAGTCCTTCCTGCTCAATGATCTAATTCTGTCTAAAAACCTGGATTTTCTGTTTCTGACTGAAGTTTGGCAGCAAACATCTGATTATTCTGGTCTGATTGAACTCTGCCGGAGTGGTTATTCTTTTCTTAGCCAGCCCCGGGGTTCTGGTCATGGTGGAGGTCTAGCTGTTGTTTTCAGAGACCATCTTCCATGTAGCTCTACAACCTCTGGTCACTTTGCTTCCTTTGAACTGCAGCTGATTAAAGTCGGGCGTAAGAACCCGTTCTACTGTGCTGTGGTCTATCGTCCACCTGGTCCAAACAGTTCTTTCCTTCAGGAGTTTAGTGACTTTCCATCCTCCACTGTGAAGCTGTCCAGACTGCTGATTGTTGGTGACTTTAACATCCACGTTGATGATCCCTCTGATCACTTTGCCATGAATTTCTCCAGCCTTATGGACTCCTTCTGCTTTACCCAGCATGTTTCTGGCCCCACACACACACCAGGGGGCACACTCTAGACCTTGTTTTTACCCTGAGTCTAAATGCTGACAGTGTTTGTCCTGAGGACGTTTATATTTCAGATCACCATTGCATTTTCTTTAACTTGTCAGTTTCTGCGTCCCCACCTCCTGCTCGCCGTATGGTTAGTTCTCGTTTTCTTAATGAGAGCACAGCTAGCAATTTTTCTGCTGCTTTTGATCCACCCTGTTCTTCTGAGAACGACCCAGATTCCTTAACTTCTCAGTTTAACGAGCACTGCCTCTCCATTCTGGACAACATCTGTCCTGTCAGAACCAGATCAGTTCCTGCAGTGAACCCTACTCCCTGGTTTAATGACAGCCTTCACAGCCTGAAGCGCCATTGCAGAAAAATTGAGCGTTTGTAGAAGAAAACCCATCTCCACGTCCATCTGCTGCACCTAAAGGATCTTCTGTCATCCTTTAACTCTGCAGTCAGAGACGCCAGGGTTTCCTATTTCTCCAACCTGGTGTCCCAGAGCAAAGGGAACCACAAGGTGCTGTTTAACACCATCAGCAGCATCGTCTCTCCTGCCTCTCCTACAGCCTCCATCCACTCTGTTGCAGACTGTGAGAACTTTCTGTCTTTCTTTTTGGACAAAGTCAATAAGGTTAGATCTAGCATCTCTCCTTCAGCCTTATCGCTGCCTCTCCCGACTCCAACCAGGCCCATCATCCTAGATAGCTTTGCTCCTGTTTCTTTGCCTGATTTATCCAAACTAGTTAACACTATGAAGACCTCTGCATGCCCCCTCCACATCTTACCCTCATCTTTGTTTAAAAGTGCTTTTCAGTCCATCGGTCCCAGCGTGCTCTCTATAATTAATGCTTCTCTGGTTTCTGGTCAGGTCCCTGCTTACTTTAAGAACGCTGTAATACACCCGCTTCTTAAAAAAACGAGTCTTGACCCCTCTCTCCATAGCAACTACAGACCCATCTCTAAACTTCTGTTCATCTCCAAGATCTTGGAAAAGGTTGTGGCTAAACAACTCACAGCTGCTCTTGATGAACAGAACATCTATGATAGCGTCCAGTCAGGTTTTTGTTGAGCTCATTCTACTGAAACAGCTCTTCTTAGGGTCTCTAATGACCTTCTGACTCACAGTCTATCAGGATCTGCTCTGGAGTGGTTCTCCTCTTATCTCTCTGAGCGCTCCTTTTCTGTGGCCGTCTCCAAGTTTAGACCCTTCACCACCTCCCTTACCCATGGTGTCCCACAAGGTTCTGTGCTGGGGCCTCTGCTCTTCCTCCTCTATCTGCTTCCTCTTCAGCACATCCTGAGCTCCTTCAAAGGAATCTCCTACCATCTTTATACAGATGACATCCAACTGTACATCTCCTTTAAGCCCCATGAGATGTCTAAGCTGCAGCTGTTACACACCTGCTTAGACTCTAACAAAACCTGGATGGCTGGGAGCTTTCTTCAGCTGAATGAAGATAAGACTGAGATCCTCATCTGTGCCCCAGACAAGCTGGTTCCCAAAGTCAGAGACTCTCTTGGTCTTCTTGCTTCTCACACCAAACTTTCCGTCAGCAATCTTGGCGTAACCTTTGACCCAGCTCTCACCCTGGATTCTCATGTCATTTCTCTTGTTGGCTCTTCCTTCTTCCATCTCAGGAACATTGCTAAGCTGAGTCCCATTCTGCCCTGCTCTGAACTTGAGACAGTTATATACACCTTCATCTCCTCACGCTTAGACTACTGTAACTCTCTTTTCACATGTCTGAGCAGAACCTCCCTGAACCGTCTACAGGTGGTTCAGAATGCCTGTGCTCGGCTTCTGACTAAGTCCTCCAAATCCACCCACATCACCCCGCTTCTCCTCCAGCTTCACTGGCTGCCAGTCAACTTCAGGGTTCATTTCAAGATCCTGGTTCTGGTCTATAGGGCCTTACATGGACAAGCACCATCTTACATTGGTGATCTTATAGTCCCTACACCCCCAGCAGGTCCCTGAGGTCCAGTGATCTAAGCCTACTGGTTGTGCAGCACCAGGCTAAAGACCAAAGGTGACAGATCATCTGCTGCTGTGTCCCCCAGACTCTGGAACTCTCTCCCCCTGAGCCTGAGATCAGTGGACTCAGTGGTCTCCTTTAAAAAGCAGCTGAAGACTCACTTGTTCAAGCTGGCTTTTGGATGACCTTCTTCACCACTCTCTCTTTATTCTGCTCTCCCCACCTATTCCACCTTCCTCAGGATCCACTGATTTCCCTTTTTCCTGTTCACTCTCTCTCTTTCTTAACAGTTTTTAATCACAATTGTCTTTTTGCTCATTTTAAATATATTTTTAACCATTTTCTAAATTCTTTTTTATATTTTTTGTTTTTGTGAAGCGCCTCGTGATTTTTATATAGAAATTATATTTTCTTCTTCTTCTTCTTCTTCTTCTTCTTCTTCTTCTTCTGTGTTGCCCATTCTTTGCATGCATAATCCTTACAAGTTATTTAGTAAAGGTCACCTGTGAAACATTTATCAATATATAATACAGCAGGAAGTAGTATTATTGGGGGGACGGTTCTACTATTTTGAAGCAATGCATTTTTTCCCTGATTCTTTTTGTTGTGTTTCTTCTGTTCATCTATTGCTCTTGAGAAGACCATATGTTTAAACATGTTCAGTTTAGACCCCATGTCTTGATTAAAGCCACATTAATCAGTCAATAATAGAAAAAACACGTTTTTCATTAATTGTTAATTGTGTTGTCTTAGAGAAGAGCAAGCTGACCATACTTCCCAGATATTACAGAGAAACAGTCATCTCTGAGTCAACTTTCATTTATTTTTTACTTCACTTTTCACCACTAGATGGTGAACCAAGACTGCTTTCTGAAGCTGATCTTCTGCGCTCACGGTGTGTGCTATTCTGCTATTCGATCCTGTTTACAAATTTGAGTGTTTGTGTAAGGGATGTTTGTCCTTTCCAGATGAATGATAAATAAAGTCTAGGTTTATAGTCAATTATTAACATTACTTTTTTGATTGGATACCACATATGAAAAGTGAGTTCAACTGACGTCAGTCTTCATGGCATCCTAAAACACACACACACACACACACACACACACACACACATTGTGAAGATGGATCAAATTCTTAGAAGCTATGACTGTAATACTTGCATTTACTTGAGGTAACATGGACAGATCTGAATCATGTTTAACCCCCATGCTAGTAACGCATGACTTGAGATGAAAAGACTGAGTTGAGATGGCAGGGGTCCTTCTTAATGAAGCAAATTGGTTTTCTCTTCATTTAGGAGAAAATTGATGCAGAGAAATAATCAAGGACAGAGAAAGTAAAAGCATGAGGGTTTATGGATAGATACATTTGGCAATCATTGATTTAAATTTGGCCTTCCTGGGCTGCCACCTTACTGTGGTGGAGGGGCTTTCACCCACAGAGTCTAACCGGGCCCAGCCCGAAGAGGAAACTTGGGTCCCCTTTATATGGGCTCATCACTCGTGGGAGGGGACAAAGGGGTTGGATGTAGTG